AAAAAAAAAAAAAAAAAAAAAAAAAAAAAAAAAAAAAAAAAAAAAAAAAAAAAAAAAAGAAAAAAAGAATCATTTGCGATTGATTTGTGAAAGAGAATAAATCAATTCAACGGCCGTCAAATTAACGCTGTAGTAAATATGCGCAACTTTACAATACACATGTATGCATACACCCACGTAGATTAAAAAAAAAGAAAAAAAAATCTTACAATGGTATAAATAGATAAATTTTATTACGCAACTCGCGATATTCGCGAATTTGCAGGTAAAAAGTAAACCTGTAGGTACATTTAAATGTATACAGGTATCTGTACTATACTTACGAAACGCACATACTTCAGTAGATACTTATTATTATTAGAGTCCTGCAGGCAGCCGTACAAGTAAGAGGAGGCACCTGTTACATTATAAATATATATACGCTGCCACATCAAGCGGAAAGATGCGAACATGCGGAAATCCCGTTACTTATATTTTAGACGTAGATTCGTATATCATATACATAATATATACGCCCAGTCGTTCAAGAACAGCTACCTCCTCTGCTTTTATTATACTTATAACTATCTTACAAATGTATATAGATATTATATTTACAGCACACGTTATATATAATATATATATACACACGTAGTACTCATACCAATCAGAGTGACTCGCATACATTTCAACGCGTACACGCGGTCTAGCCGTTTGCGGTATAATGGTCGGAGGCGATTATTATTTTCCTCCCGCAGATATGATACATATAAGCCATACCTTCCGAAATTTTAACGCGATTCGGTCGATGCCTTCGCCAACGCGTTTTATTACAATCCTCGCACCAATTACATTTCGTAACATTATATATATATATATATATATATATATGTGNTTTATTATAAGGTGTGGAGCAGCTCCTCGGCAATTATGGCTTTAGACGTAGGGGGGATATATGTACCGGCGTGGGAGACCGAGCAGCAATCGTCGCGGTGGTGTGTAAAGGCTACTTACGCAGTACACTTTTTTTGCTAATTGTGAACTACTTTCTTCGAAACGAGTGCGTGGCTTTTCTCTTTTTCTTATGACTGTTTTTTTTTTTTTTTTTTTTTCTCCAATTAGAGGGCGCGTGGCTTTTTACGGGCAACCCTGTAATTTGGATATTGTACCTCACGCGTGTTGCAAGAACGCCTTGTTTTAGAGTCGAGATGACGATAAACAATTGAACAGGGTATTGTTGAGATTTTTTTTTCTTCCCCCGCAATAGCCGGCATCGTAAATTGATAAATGTTTTTCGGCGCGTGTACATTATGTATGCCACGCGTGAAATTCAACAGCCGGCTCTCTATGCGTAATAGTTTCTCTCCTCCGCGTCTTCCAAGCCACCCAATGGCTCTCACTCGGATGTACGCGTTTTACAGCGAAGTAGGCGTTGTTGAATCAAGACATCTGATCCTCGCTGTTCAAGGACGGCTGTTTTTTTTTTTTTTTTTTTTTTTTTCCTTCTTTTTCGTACAGCATAAAGTATAATTATATGGTATACATGTGTTATGAAAATGTCGAAACGTCCATACGCGCCATCTCTTCAACGTAGCCGTGCATCATCGCTC